GGCTGTTCATACGTAAATTAAACTTAAAAAAGAAGAGAGAGAGAGAGAGAGAGAAAAAAAATATATCTCTTATTAAGTGCAGGAAACATAAACTAATTACTATATCAATATACGTGTGTGTGTCTGTGTGTCTGGTACATGCACGCGCCCACGTGTAGTCTTGTATTACCTGTACCTCATGTTTTGTACGTATTTATGAAAAGCGTTTTTCAGAAACATGGGAAGGATACGTGATACACCCTCCCCCTCCATGTCATAAACTCTGAATTCGTGGAAACCGCTTTGCAAGTAGAAATCTCAAATTATGTTCTGTCGAAGCCTTAACTTTCTAAAGCTAGTTACAGCCCTTCAAACGCCAACAAAGGAAGGAGGTCACTTTCCTTGTCTCCTTGAAGAAAAAAAATCTCTGTTTCTCGCCAGCACAATATCACAGTGGTATATAGTGGTTTTACTGGTGTTAAGACATAGAAGATGTCTCACAAATGTTTTTAGGAACGTATAAAACGTTTTTATATAACATTGTTAATCGTATTGACAAACAGCAATACACACACACGAACCAGTAAATTGTTTTATGAGAAATATGGTTTCCTATACATTATAATAAGGACAGTGTTAGGCTTAGAATACTTGACACTTTTGCAGTTGTCTGGGGGCCCGGCATTGCCAGGTGACTAGGGCGCTCGACTCGCAATCTGAGGGTCGCGGGTTCGAATCCCAGTCACACCAAACATGGTCACTCTTTCAGCCGTGGGCGCGTTATAGTGTGACGGTTAATCCAACTATTTGTTGGTAAAAGAGGAGCCCAAGAGTTGGCGGTGGGTGGTGATGACTAGCTGCCTTCCCTCTAGTCTTACACTGCTAAAGTAGGGACGGCTAGCGCAGATAGCCCTCGTGTAGCTTTGCGCGAAATTAAAAAAACAAACAAACTAACAGTCGTCTGGGCAGGGCATGATTAACGCACTCCGGGCCCCTAAAATCTATTATGATAATATAGATAAATGATAAATAATAAACAAAATAAAGGCGTTTTTTTTTTAAACAAATTAAGGTTCTGTTCTGCAAGAATGCTATTGCAGCTATCATACCCCTCCCCCTTTCTTCGAGAAATTCAC